TTAATTATATGTATGTACCATATACATGTATATAAATTATATACAAAACAGAATACAATAAACTGAAGGCCATGCGACGTCAAACGATCGCATATATGACCACCCAACTCTATTACACAAACAATAACAAAACAATAACAAAAATTGGCCATTTAAGACATGCTAAATTGCTTATGGCTTAGCTAAAACTCCTACGCCATAACAGTAATTATTAAGAAAATGCCACGACGCAGTTACCGTACGTCTATCGTCACATAGTATATCAACGTAACGAATCCTACTAATAGCATAAATATGAAAGTTTGTAAAGAAATTTGATGTATATATATATATATATATCCTCAGGAATGGTAACACATGGGACGTATCATGAGCGAAACAGTATACTCTATTATGTCCATTGACCACAACTGGACATAAACCTTCCATTGGGGGGTTTGTCAGTAGTTGCCACGATGGCAAATGGGCCAATAAACGATGAGATGTGTCGTAGATATACAAAATAAGGTGCATTTGAGTTTAGAACGCAGAATCGCGTTTTTAAATGTAGATTTTATTTCGCAACAGGCAGTTTTATGCTCCACAAAAGTAAACCACGGCTTTAATTGTGATAAAATTAATATGGGACCATGACGAGAACAAACCTTTTTCACCTATCTCCGAAAAATTGCGAAGCTGTATCACCTTTAACAAAAACTTTAATTTTATTATAATGTTTATATAAATATAATAAATTTAGTCGAGGCAACTATTTCATGCATTCTCTCCTATCCAGCTCTATTCCAGGCCATATCTTTGACCTTCCTACATGTGACACGCGGTGTTTCTATATCTGTCCCATGCAATAATTTCTCGGTCTTCCCATCCTCTTTTACCCTTTATTTTCCTTTCCAGTATGCTCTTTAAAAATCAAAACAAAAATGGTAATAGGAAATATGAGTACATTTCTATTTTAGATTCACAATCCTGATAGTGTAAAAAGTCATGTTACTACCTGAATATATTTCCCTACTGTCTATCTTTAGCTGCGCTTATGTGTATATCTTTCAATTTTCATTTAAATCGATTCAATAGTTTAGCTGTCTAAACATAACAAACAGACTGACTCACTATCGCATTTAGAATATTAAGTGTGGATGGATATCGTACGGATACAGTGACGCGCATTTATTGGGGAAAATTTTGTAACAATTTTACACAGAGCCATCGACCTCACACAATATTAAAATTTGATATTCTGATAGTTAGTCACTGATTTAAAGAAAATCCAAGATACACACAAGAGACTAGAAAGCACATTCAATTAAAGTATGCACTGATTGCTAATCAGCCAGCGATGTTTGTTGTCACATATGCTAATATGTTTAACAAATTTTATAAAAATACTAGGAGCTTCCCATGACTTGGCTCATGTGAATTATTATATACAGTATCATATGTGTTAAGTTATAATATAACCTGCCAATCCATCAAATTTCATGAAATCCGTACAGCTATTTAATCATGATTCAGTAACCACAAACACACAAACATTTTTACAAATCTTCACCATTATAATATATTATTGATACAATATAGTAAATACAGAATAATACAAATATATATTGGCTTTTCCTACGACAAATAGCATATGTATGTCAATTTTAAATTGTAACAGTTTTATATCTAACTTTTATATTGAAATATGAGCCTTAATTCTTTGTATAATAAAGTCTGATACGTGAAATAAATATCTAATAATAATGACGATGGTTAGTAATGAGGGCATTAAGTAATCATCATGAGCATTAACTAATAAGAGTAAATGCATTTTAAACGAGGTACACCGGCTAGTTTATTTAAATTAATAAAGTTAAGTTACAAATGATGAAATAATATTATCGATAAAATAGTTTAAACAATAAAAGCGCAGTTACGGCTGTGTATTGCCCGTAAAATATATCAATAAAGTGACGGTAACGACGGACGTTCAACAAGTCCCCCGGTGCAATTATTTTATTCACTGTTGCGTTTTAAGAGTGTACCACGCAATCAAATACAACAATGACAAACAAGGAAAATTTTGCTTTATAAATAATTAAGGATTCCACAATAAAAAGACTTCAATCGTGGCAAAATCAAATAAACTAATGAACCTCTGCCTCATTCGTGTTTCTACTGTGAAGCAGTTGTGTTTGCATGGCTGTGTTTCGGTTTGAAGGATGGAATATGGCGTGAATTTACAGGGTACAGAGGAATAACACCTGAATCCTCAGGAATGGCAACGCATGGTTGGTATCAAGGGCGAAACAGTATACTCTGTTATGTCCATGGTACTGCTCATGTCTATAGGCGACGGTTAATACTTTTCATCAGGTGGGCCGTCAGCTTGTTTGCCATTCTAAGTTGTATAAAAAAAAGAAAAAAAAAAAAACCGTTTTTGATAAAATTCCTATTTTAAAAGCATTTGGGAAAATCTTTATCCTTTCAAATAAAGAATTTCCCAAATCAGTTTATAAATGACAGAGATATGAGGTAACAACTATAAAAAATATTACCGAATTGAAATCTTCTTTTTTGAAGTCATTTGAAAAAAAAACGAATAGTTCAACCATGACAAAACACACAGATGAACGAAGAGATATTGTGTAAATATATTGAAAATATTATAATTTGGAACACGCATCGTGTATCTAGAGTTAATTTTACATTGTAAGGAGGAGTTTGCTCCGCCGAGAAAAATGGCAGCTTAATCGTCACAAAATTAACGTGGCTCTATATGCGAGCAAACTTGTTGATTACAAAAAAAATATCAAATTCTATGGAAAATCATCATTGTTGATTGTAGGTGAATTCATCACAATGGGTCAACCGATAATACTCCAACCTATCATACTGATCCCTCACCAACGAAAACCAATAGTATATTTGGGGTTATTATTCTATTTCCAAACATTAAAAAACTTATTCCAAACACATATTTTAAGGTAGTACTATATTCATCTCAGTAAAAGAAATTTGTTGCCAATGAAGGTACTTCCTTTGAATCAAACCCAATCGTACCATCAATTTTAATACATTATAAAATGTAACTGCCTACATGTGATAATGTATCACATGTAGGTGTAACTGAGTCAGCCGCTAATCCTTTGCGCAAAGACTGTGACAGTTACATCTCCGGATCACTTATGGGATTTCCGTAACTGAATATCCAATGACACTCGTAATGTGAAATAGGGAAACTTGTGGCAACATTTACGATAGATCGAAATATTTTCCTCCTTCGTGATGTAAGTGTAACACACTATAACTACAGTTTGAGCTCCTCTGACGTCACCAACTGTAACTACAGTTTGAGTTTCCCAGAGGCCTTTACCCGAATTATCGTGTTACTGTCGATAACGAGAATAATTGACACTATACCATGTGCTCTTTGATTTAAGGTTTGTTTTATATTCGCTGAAAATTGGACAATGTGTTGAGCAAAAACTAAGCTTCTATTACTTACTACAGTTTTTGCCTGCATGAATTAGAATACAAAAAGGATACATTAAGAAGCAGAAATGTTGAAAATTTTTCAATTGTCTTTGATGTTGTTTATGAACATTTTTGATTTGTGATATGGTCCTATCTATGGTATAGTTTATTTTCATTTAAAAACCAAACTACTCAGCCGATTTCGATAAAATTTCTACAGTGATCCAATCTAAAAAATATATATTTTCCAATAAGAAAAGAATTTTTCCAAATCAGTTCATAGTTGACGTACTTGTCTTCTGTTCAACAAACAAAAAAAAATGCAACCGAATAGAGAAACTGCTCCTTTTTTTGAAATCGATTGAAAACATAACGAGACAGCTCAAAACTCTCGACCCATACGCGTGTGTACGTCTTACACGGCACGTCCTTGGCTCGTGTGTTATGGAGCGAGTTTTCACTTCGATTCATTATGACGCCGATCGAGCGCCGCCCGTCACGCTCCGCCGCCGGTAATGACCGCGTGACGCTGAACTAACACCGTGTTTGTTACACCATTCATTACTGGTTTTTTATATAATTATTGTAGCCCATTGTTGTGTCTCATAATATGCGAAATTATTGCTCAACATCTTTCATGGTACGGAGGGAAAATTTACAAGAGCACGATCCGGCCTACTATTTTAATAAGGATTGTTTTTTTATTAATGGTGCCAGTGCAGGTACTAATGCTATGATGATGGTATATAACAGCAGGGTACTAGTGAATGATGATTCGGTCGAGGTAAATTCACCAGGAATTGTGAACGGAGTGTTGGCTAAGAAAAGACGGATGAAAAACGAGTGCAAGTAGCTGAGATGCGGTCGTCAAGACAGAAGTGTGGCGTGACAAGGATGGACAAGATTATTAATAAGTTTATCAGAAAAAGTATTAGTCAAAGAAAGTAGCGCCAGTGATAGAAAAGTTACGAAGTAAGTCTTGGTATGGACATAAAATTGTCTTGGTATGGACATATGATGTGCAGAGATGATGATATTGTTAACCGCCTTCAAAAAAGGAGGAGAGAGAAAAAGAAGAATAGTATTAAGAATGTATGTAGACGGTTATAAAGTA